TAAAATTTTATTTAAAAAATCTAAATATTACAGATTTTATTCGATTTTAAATTTTTATTTTATTAAAATAAAAAAATATTTAAATCGGTATAAAACCTGTAATATTTGGATTTTTTAAATAAAATTTTAAATTTGTCGATAAATTATAGTAGATAATAAATTGAACCACTTTAATTTGAATTATCTCAAATAGGGGGGCCTGGAGGCGGGTAAGGGGACAGGAAAAACTAACTTTTTTCGCAAACTTCAATTTAAATTCTGTTTGCGCCGAACTTGTCTATTTAATGTCATTATAAACTATTATAAATTTGGTGTGGGTCCCATGTCTAATAACTGAAATATTGGTATACCCAAAATCCACCAGCCGCAGTGGTCTGAGAGGCAAATTTACGCGGCATAAATCCAATTTTTAAAACACTTTATTAACGCATTTTGATGCCTCTTTATTGTTAGTGACAGATTATTACCTAAGATTTTAAACTGCAAAGTAAAATTTACTGCGTATGCGTTGCGTTATAACAAATACATAAAAAGATTATCAAAAATACTCTTACTTTCGGAATCTTGTCTTTTTCGTGTAAAAAAGGTGTTGCGTAAATATAGTAGTGAAAATTAGTGTCAAAAATTTATAGTAGAGATAAAGTTGAGTACAAATACAACTTTAAAATGTCTTTTTTGGATTTTTTGACAAAAATATAGCCTTTTTTAACCTACAAATTGTAATTACAAATAATAAATGGAATATAAGTAAAAATTTATAATTACTTGCGCAGAACCACATAGTGCATTCGAAAATATGAACCTCCAGCTCCGACTTTATAAAAATTCATCTGCCTTTATGCGCCTATAAGAGAGTTATGCAAAAATGAAAAATGGCCGACAAATTACCGCTAACCTGGTCATAAAAGTAATATATTTTTTAAATTTGACAATAATTATTGCATTTAAGAATGGTAATACAATTTTCTTTACTCCTATTACATAATATTATTTTTTTAATATACTTTGTATATTATACAGTGTGCCCACGGATGGTAATGACAATAGAAAATAACTTTTTTATTAGGTATGAAAAACAACATGTTATTTAAAAACTCTTGCTTGTTTCAAAAATAAGATTCCTACACAAACATTTTGAATTAAATGTACAGGGTGCTCAGAAACTAAAAAAACCCAAAAACTAGAAGTGCGTTTTGTGGAAAAATGAATTCTTTTTGAAAATATTTGATGGTTAAAAATTAAGACTTTCATAAAAAGATGAATTATATATACAGGGTGCTCAGAAATTTAAAAAAAATATATATATCAAAATAAGAGGGAAATGTGGTAAGATATTCGTAACGGAATCGCAAAAAATCATTCTTTATAAAAACTTCTGCTTGTATTTAAAAATGAGATTCCTAACAAACATTTTTAATTAAATGTCCAGGGTGCTCAGAAAATAAAAAAAACAGCAAATGGCTTTAAGAGGGTAGTACAATAATTATTGTTCTATAGGAATCTTATTTTTAAAACAAGCAAGAGTATTTAACGCATAATAAAAATAATGAGTTTTACTATTGTCAACCATCACGATATTGGCTAAAGGGTGAAATGTAAAATGTTGATATGATAATATATTTTTTATACTTTAAAGGTAATGGTTTTTCGGTTATTCATGATAAAAAATTAGGCTTGCGCCATGTTGCAATCGCCAACATTGGCGATCGCCCCCTGGTATGAACTATAAACATTTATTTATTTAATAAATAAATTATTAAATATAAAACATAAAAAAACAAAAAATACACAAATATTAAAAAAATTCATTTTATATCATTTGACTAGACTTAGCCCCCTCAATACCAAATATTTAAAAAAAAAATTGATATAAGAAGTAAATTTAGCACCCTTAAAAACATTAAAAACACACGTCTTGGGAAAAATATTTAAAGAATAATTTTTGCCGCGTAAATTTACCTCTCAGACCACTGTGAGCCGCCACTGTACTGCTCTTCCACTAAACCTTTATATTCCGGGTGTTATTGTATACATATATAGAAAGTTGGTTAATAGTTGGAAATACATTTCCAACAATAACGGTACTCAATGCTAATAACCCTGTAGGTAAATTTTGAACTCTTGAAATACCACAGCTCGGATACGTAAACATAATTTTTGGTCGTAGATTCCAAATCCGTGCTCGGTTTAGCTGTATCAGGTCTAAAAAAGTTTTTTCTGTCGGAAATCCGATCCGGGAACACTTTATACTGCAGTATACCATGGTATATTACAATTTGTAAATTAATATATTTCACCTCTTGTCCCAACATTCTTATGCTTTTTATTTCAATTAATATAATATCCTTAACTAAACTCAATAAAAACAAATAGCAAACAAACATTTTGAATTTCCTAAATTATCTATAAAAAACCCTCAGGGACACGTGTTCTTTTTGATCAATTAACTTCAAATTTGTTTTTTTTTTAATTTTGGAACCAATGTGTGGGTCCAGCCAAATTGTTTTCTTAAAATTTATACATGGTGTTTAAATGTATACAGGGTGTTCCAATATCTTTGAATTTTGACCTGATACAGCTAAACCAAGACCAACCAAAGACCAAAAACGTTTACGTGTCCGAGCGTTTAGCTGTGATATTTTCACCTCCCTACAGTGTAGTAAGATAACAAAACAAATTTGAAATACATAAAAAAAATAAAAATCCTTTTTTACATTATTAAAGAATATTTTGATTATTAAATATTAAGGAACGGAGTTTATGTTTAAAATAGGTAATTGGTAAGTTGGACTTCATTCGGGATACGTTTGTAATATTTATAATTATTGAAAGTAAAAGATCTTTAAAATATTTTGTGTTTTTACACAACATTTTTAAATTAGCAAAATTCTGGCTTATCAATTTTATAACCTGAAAGTTAAATCTTATGTTTGAGTCTAAATTTACTCCCAGGTTTTTTGTGACCTCTATAAAATTTAAATTTTAATTATTAATAAGTTATTATTAATTAAAATTTAAATTGTAATAACCATATTAATATTGGATTTATGAAGTTCACAATCCAGCTTCGAATTAGACACGTTTAATGTAAGACCATGATTTGTAGAAGCTTGCACTAACTTACCCGGGGAAAAATATTCCATATATAATTATACATAATTTAATTCATATATAATTTTATATGAATTTTGACCATACATGATCATATATGAATTTTGGAACATATATAATTATATATAACCATATATGATTATATATGGAATTGGAACATATATAATTATATATAACTATATATAGATAAGTGGTCAGCTGTGACCTCCGTTAAGTTGAGAGGGCCACCTCTCCTCCGGGTCTGCGGAATGGACGATTTTTATTTTGATTGCATATATTGCGGGGGGGAGCCTTAAATATTAACGCCACCACAAGAGGGGAAGCAATTTTTAATTTTTTAAAATGTCAATTTTTTTACGCAAACTGGAGATACTCAAGATACAAAGTCACCTCCGAATATATATAATTTCGGAGAAACAAACAGCCTTGTATCCTCCGACAGTGTTGCCGGATTTTCGGAGGTCGCAACGTATCTTTAGTATCTGGGATATATATCAGATTTATTTTGTCCACTGCTTCATGCTATATGTGCCATACATTATTTGAGTACATTAGATTTTTGCAAATTTTTTAAAAATATATATTTTATCATATTTATGTAGGTACATAACTGCACTGCCCACAGCATACCTAAGTAAACCAGATTCATAAGTTAATATTTGTAGAATAAAATACATTTATAAACTTAACGCAGATGCAAAACTGGGTATTTGTTTCTTCCTGTCGGATGCAAAACTCGGTATTTGCTGTATACAGTCTATAGACCAATCACGTCGTTAGTATACGCATTACGTGACGACATAACAATCACCTAATTAATTGTTATTTTTTGGTATTTGCACTTTTCACTTGCAAAACTTGGTCTTTGAACGAGTAAGATGCAAAACTATGTTTTTAAATCTTTTGATTTCAATTATTTACTAAACTACTTAATTTTTAAAGATTTTTTTTACTTTTGTGAATAAGAAATCATGCAAAAGCACGTCTATAAAATTTTTGCATTTTTTTTCAAAAATGAACTTATGAGCGGTTTTTCGTGTTTTTCTTAAAATCACGTATCCTGCAAATACAGAGTTGTGCATCTAATGTACTTATTTAGTAATAATAATAATTATTATTATTTTTGTTATAAAAGACAAAATATTAAAAATAATAAAAATGGAGTACTTTGAAATAAATAATTTATTTGATTTAAAAAAGAACGTATTGGTTATGATAGGTCTTGCAGGTATAATGGCAAAAAAAATGTTTAATAAAAACATTTTTGTAGTTATTATTTCTCTATATTTTTCTATTTACATTTTTAATATAATTTAGTATAAGGTCATTTTGAGGGGTGGTGAATCCAGTGCCGTGCTTAGAATTTGTTTAAAAAAATCGCCAATATGAATTCTTAAAAATTAACTCTTAAAAACTGACATAGTAGGCTTTGTATTTAGTAAAAATATGACGGTTTTGCTTCAAAAATACAGTTTATCAAGATTTTACCTTTAAAACAAATTTGGTAAAAATCGCACGATAAATAAAGATTTTACAGGGGTTATGTTATTACATAAATAAAGATTTTACAGGGGTTATGTTATTACATAACCCCTGTAAAATCTTTATTTATCGTGCGATTTTTACCAGATTTGTTTTAAAGGTAAAATCTTGATAAACTGAAGGGTTTATAGCAAAAATAGCACTTGTCAGAAAAATTCATTTTTGAGATATAGACAACATTGCCTTCAGATAATCTATAACTATCGGTTTGTAATTTTATTTTGGGCAAAAACAACTTATATCACCTCTAAAAAGGCTATAGAAATATAGCATGTTCCGCTAAAACATCACTTGTCAGTAACATGTGCTTTTTTTGTGGGAAATTGACGTAGTAAGAAACTGTCAAAATGGATTTAAACCCAGATGATGTTCCGGTAAAAAAACCGAAAAAAGTACGAAATTCTGTTATTATTCGTGACAAAAAAGTTAAAGGCTTAGAGCATGTAAACCATAAAGGCCGTTTAATACCAGCAAAAAGCCTGGGCGAAGATTGTAGGTATGTTTTTTCAATAAATCTTAGTTTAAACTTTGTTTAACCTTAAAATTTGTTACAGATGTGCTCGCTTTAAATGTTTTACTGTTTTATCTGAGCAAGAAAGGCAAAATGTATTGACAGAGTTTTACAAAATTCAGTCAAAAAACCTTCAAGACTCACATCTTTGCGGTCTCATAAGGGTGGACCCAATCAAGCAAAGAAGATCTCGTAAGTCAAACAGAAGAAGCCTAGTACAGTATTCCGACTCATCAGAAGAAGAATACGCTAGACCTAATGATTATGCCCATGCCGCGGCTTACAGATACAAAATACGTACAAAGCAGATTGATAATAATAATTATTACAAAGAAATACCTGTGTGTAAAAGAGCTTTCCTCAGTCTACACGGAATAACGTCGGCAAGACTCAGAAGATTACAGTCAAGTCTTTCTGAAAATTTAAAATCGCCCACTGACAGAAGAGGTCAACACAAAAATAGACCGAATGCTTTACCTGAAGAAATCGTAAATTTCAGAGAGAAAATCCGAAGAGGTATTATTTAGACGAAAGGCTAAATGTGCGGCGCATGTACAAAATGTTTTTAGAAGAATATAAGATAAATCTGTCTTATAAGTTATACTGGTCAATTTTTAACTCAAAATTTAATATAAAATTTGGCTTGCCAAGAACAGACACATGTTCAATTTGCGATAGTTTAAGACTAAAAGAATCTGCAGCAGAAAATGAAGATTTAAAGCATTCACTAGCAGCCGAAAGGAAGGTTCATTTAAGAAAGGCTCAAGCATTTTATGACTTAAAAAAATCTTGGACAGCTAAAGCTAAAAACGGAGAAGCAATGGTTGTCTGTTTCGATTTTATGCAAAACCTTCCTCTTCCACATATCAGAGACAATCTGGCCTTTAGATGCCGCCAACTATGGTACTATGTTTTCGGTATTCATAATCTGGTAGATGATCGAGCTTCAATGTATGTTTATACTGAAAAAATCGCAAAAAAAGGTCAAAACGAGGTCACTTCGATGTTATTTGATTACTTTACCAAAGTAGTTAATATAACTTCATCGAAGTTGATAATTTTCAGTGACGGATGTCCAGGTCAAAATAAAAATTACGTAATGATCTACTTCTTGTACATTTTAGTTCACTGTCTGAAGTTATTTGAAAGTATAACTTACATTTTTCCTATGCGAGGTCACTCGTTTCTTCCAAACGACCAAGACTTTTCGGTCATCTCTAAACGCAAAAATGTTGAAACCGCTGAAGTCCCCGAACATTGGCATACCATTATTAAAACTTGCCGTGAAAAGCCCTCAGCTTTCGACCTTCGTGAAATGCAGCAGAATTTTTTTTTTTTACTTTAAACAGGCGACCAAAAAATTCTTCTTGAATAAACCAAGACCCGCTGTTCGGTTAAAACCTCTACGTATGTTTCGCATTCAGTCGTGTAATACTTTCTTAGAAGTACGAGATACTTACTCAGGCATGTGGAGGCAATGTATAATAAGAAACAAAACTGCATTATCAAATGAATTAAATTTAAGCCCATTATACCAGGGTCCAATCCCATTAAATCCATTGAAGTTAGCAGATCTACAAACTCTAAGCAGTGTTCTTTCAGAAAAAAAAACATTGTACATTTTACAACTCTCTGGTTTCTGGTAACATTGGTGGCGAAGACCAAGAAAATCCCGATATCGACGAGGAGGATAATAGTAGTGGTTGCGGTGATTTTGAATAACAAAAATAATATTTTTTTGTTCGTTCTTTATTTATTATTTAAGGTTTCAAAATATTTTTTCTTTAAATGTAAACATAATAAAGTTCTTAAAGTAGTTATTTCTGGCGAGTTTCTGTCAAAAACCACATTTGTCAAACAGAAAAATCAAAATAATAACTAAATATTTTGATTTTTTCTTAAACTAAACTATTGTCAATAAAACCTATAATTTAATATATCGATCTAATAATATTTTACGCTGGTACTGCTTTCCGTGTTAAAGATATAAGGTTTTTTGACTATTCTAAAAATATTGATTTTTTGACAAGTGCTGTTTTTGCTATAAACCCTTCAACTGTATTCATATTGGCGATTTTTTTAAACAAAATCTAAGCACGGCACTGGATTTACCACCCCTCAAAATGACCTTATACTAAATTATATTAAAAATGTAAATAGAAAAATATAGAGAAATAATAACTACAAAAATTTATTTTGTCAAGTTATACATGAAATAAACATCGAAATAAAATTAAACTAATAGTATAACATGCATGTTATACTATTAGTATAGTATACGTATACTTATTATGGTATACTTATTATAAGTTTAATTTTATTTCAATGTTTTTTTCATGGATAACGACGGAATAAATTTTTGTAGTTATTGTACATTTTTCTACTTAAAATTTTTTAATAAAGTTTAGTAAAGAGTCGTTTTGAGAGGGTGGTGAATCCAGTGCCGTGCTTAGATTTTATTTAAAAAAATCGCTAATATGAATTCTTAAAAAATTACTCTTAAAAACTGACATAGTAGGCCTTGCATTTTGTACAAATATGGCGTTTTTTGCTCCAAATATACAGTTTATTAAGATCTACACCTTAAAACAAATCCGGTTAAAATCGCACAATAATTAATGATTTTACAGGGGTGAGTTGTAAAAAAATGGGTCACATTGTATATGTACTGTTTTGCTTGCAAGTCGTTTTCTAAAAACTTTTCAAACCGATTGACTTTTGAAAGAATTATTAATATTATTATTATCAATAAGTTTTGTTATTTTAATATTTATTAGTAGATATTATTATTATTTTTAATATTTCAATTGTATTTTTGTATTATTTTAATTTTTTCTAATTTTTTTGTTATTTTTACTATTTTTATTATAATTATTTTTTTTTTGTTAATATTTTTATTACGTAGGTATCTACTTCAATTATTTATATTCCTTTTACAATCTTCATTATTTTTATTTATTTATATTTAGTTTTATTGTATTATTTTTATTTATAATTTAAAAAAATAATCTTATTGTTATTATTTTTATTATTTTTTCTAATAATTATTATACCCAATCATTTTGAATATATTTATTAGTATACTTTTTTATTATTTTTATCAATTTTACTTTTTTAATTATTTCTTTATTTCTAATATTTTTATTTTTAATATTTTTGATATTTTTATTATTATATTAATAAAAATATAAGAAAGAAATTGAAGTAAACAATAAATAGGGATAATTAAAAAACATAAGTAAAGTAAAACATTTTTATCTATTAAAATAATTATGAATAATAATTATTATAATTATAATTATCATAAGGGTAACTAATTAATATTTTTTTTCGTTTTTCTTAAGGTGTTGGACTTTGGCTTTAATAAGGGATACACTTCTTTTTATTTTCGTTTGTTCTAGAAAAGATTTAAATTCTTTGCTAGATGAATAAATATTTTTTTAATATGGTTAAGGAATTTATCCTTTATTAACCCGATTTCCATATTTGTGCAGCCTAAAAATAATAACACATTTTTAAACAAATAAAAGTGAAAAAAGATTGTGTGAGTAAAAAATTTGTTTAAACACATTTTGTATAAACTTTTGTAAAATCATTTTGTACTTTTTTTGTTTAAATTCTTTATCTTTTTTGGTAATGATTTCATCATTACTAGTATCGTCTAAATCTAAAAGAATTATTTTACAATATCCATTTCTATAAACATAATGCATTTACCTAATTAGGTACTAAAAACTTACTTACCTTGAAAACCGACTCTCTGGATTATTAATTAAGTCCTGGAAGATATATTTTTAACTTAAATCGTTATTTTACACTTAAGATGTTAGAACAAAAGCGAAACTGCGTAACAAATAACATACATATGTATAAGAAGTATTAAAGATCATCAAGTCTGAACATCTATGACTGCGCGAGATATTGCAAGGTTGCCAAATTTCGGAGGTAACAAATGTACGTATACATGACGGAGGTAACTTTGGTGTGGCTGAATCTGATTAAAAAGCGACACTAGCGCCAATTCATATATGGTGGAACTAAAAGTTCCTTTTTAAGAGACTGGGGGGTCAAAGTGACCTCCGAAATATTTTTGGACAGATTGATTACTGACACTCCCCCAATGTCAAAAATATGGTTAAACACTGTGACCTCCGAATTTGGAGGTCACAGCGTCATATATGAGGTCACAACGTATGAAGGGTCTCCGTTTTGGAGGTGACAATGTACCCTTTATCAATATATATATATGACCATATATAAATTTATTTTACACAATGATACACAAACGAAAGTAAATCATGTAGTGCCTATAAAAGAAGAAAACAAATTTACATTTGTCAATGTAAAAGAGGTAAAAAAAATGTGTCATGTTGTAAGGGTTCTAAACTATGTTGTTAAGCCACCAAATTTATTTTAAAAAAATGTAAATATTTTATTAGTATGCAAAAGATTATATATTATAAATGTATATAATGTATTACTTATTTCAATAAATAATATTAAGAGATAACGATTTTATCACTTAATTAACCTAAACCTAATTCTGAAACCCTAACCATACCCAGCTAGCACAAGTCTGTCCTAAGGAAAGCCTTACAGGATATTGGGATATCCCAAGGTTATCCTAGGACGTCCTCGGACCTCCTCAGGACATCCATAATTACAAAAATAACATTTTTTTGTATATTTTTACATGTTTTGAAAGACAACCTAATATGGAACAAAAAATTATTATAGCCTTACTACCTTACTACCCTAAACTTAAAGATACACTATTTTATTAATAAGCACTGGAACTTTCTAATGGTTGTTGAAATATCCAAATTATAACAACCTGTATAATATAACAAACACACTTTATGGAGAACACGATATCGAGATTCACGCCACAGAAAAAGAATTTCTTCTAACAAAAGGCACCAAAGAACACCATAATCTGTGAAAAGGACGCTATACGTCATCTTAGCTTTCTCTACACCACTCTAGTGTTATGGTAACACTGTTACCACCATAACGTGTGGCGGCAAATTTAAAAATAATCGTTAACATTAATACCCGTTTGCAACAACATATGGCTTAATCAATATTAACTAATCTCAATTAAATTATAACCGTGATTAAATTTATCTCGGTTTGCACCATCCAATTTATAGCTAATCCTCTTTTAACTTTGATAAGGTGAAAAACGCGGAAAATGTGTGTTGGTATGTTGGTTATAACCCTATATTTTGCTGATAGGTTCGTACCACTGTAGCGTTCAAACGTCAAAAACGTCTAAAACTTGTCATATGTAGAATAATTATTTAAAGGGTATATCGTTTTGCCTAAAGCGGTGTGTAAAATAATGTACATTGCAAAATAAAGAAAAAAGAGTTGAATAAATTTTGTTAATCAATAATTTAATTATTCGGTAGGTACCTTAATATTACAAATTAGCAAAATACTTGTTTTAAATTGTCTTCTGGCCAGCGTACCGGCGGCGATATCATTTTGGTCGGCATAAATATTAGAAATTTGTCCTTCTTCT